GGGACTAGTGGACAGTGAACTTGTAGGGAGACATGGAGCAGGGTGGGGGCCCTAGAAGCAGACGTTTTTGTGAGGGCACCCTCTTCATGTCCTTGTACCAGATGCACTATCAGGGCTAGAGGTCACCGGAGGGTCCACGGACAGTGGCACCAAGGCGGCACAACCAGGGGCCCCAGAAATAAGAACCCACACAAAGAACACTGAGAACAGCAAAAATTTGACCGCGGCACGGAGCAACCCTCGACCGGTGGCACGTGGGAGCTCTGTGACAAGAGACATTCATTTCTCACCCCCTGAAAACAGCCGGGGCACAGCAGCCTCCAACAGCAAGTTATGGCTTGGAGTTGGAGAAAGAAACAGTCTGGAGATGAACGCCCATGGCCAGACTTCAGTTAATGATTAAGTCAACAGGGCGACCTGCAGAAGCCGGGCAGCTGCATCTGCCCCCAGCACCAAGGAAGTTCAGCTCTGGACTCTGAACTTCATGGCAGAGTTAAGATCTAGAGCTGTGCCCACACAAGACACGGCAGGGAGACTGGCCCGTGAAGCCACTGCGGCTCTGGACAAATCACAAGCCTCACTTGAGTTCTGAGAGCAGGGTCCAGCGAACTGAGGCCAGAGCAGCCCCACAGCCTGGTCCGCTTGGCTCCCCAGAATGCTCACCCAGACAGCCCTGGGTCCTGCGGTGGGGTGGGCACACAGTGGTCAAGACACCTGAGCTGTTACCCAGGGAGGGCAGGTATGGAAGGGCCATGACTAGGGCGTCAGTAGCAAAGCTGGAATTTCTGTCACCAGGAGTGACAGGGACTGCATGCTTCTGGGAACAGAGGGGGGCCTATCTCCCTCCCCCACCGTGCGCAGCTCACCATTGTCTGCTTCTGAATCAGCTTTATTTCTGAAACTTCCTTTTTCCCCCTGCCAGTGAGTCAACCAGCAGTCGGGAATAATCCAAATCACAGCACCCAGACATTGCGTCTCCCTGAGCATACACAGTCCCACAATCTGGAATCCCAAACGTTCAGTAATTATACATTATTTGGCTTTCCTAAGACCTAGATAATATTATCAAATTAACAGCAAAGAAGTGTCACGGTCATGGGAATATTCACCCACTGTCCACATAAAGAAACGGAGGCTCTGGGGACTGACCTCGCTTCAGCAGACTACACTGGGATCCGAGGCAGGTCTGTGCTCTACCTGACCTCACCTGCAGAGCCTCATGCTGCCCAACACCCAGAGAGCACGACCCTGGAGCATCAGGGCCAGGCTGACGTCTCCCTTTCACTGTCCACCTTCTCCACGAAGGTTCAGCCCCCATTCTGCAGACAGTTTCGCCACAGCTTCTGGTCTATCCAAGAGGTACCTGAGGCCCGGTGAGGAGCCTCTGACAGAGCCACTGTGATGATCGTGAGTCCACCACTAGCTGCAACATTTCTCGCAGAGTCCTAAAGCCTTGCAAACACTCCTCAACTGTCTGTCCACGAGGTCTGTGGGTCCCACTCAGAGGGCACCTGCTGAACATGGTTCACCCCATCAGCAGGTCAGGCCACCCATCCAGCAAGAACATTAGATTTGTCTGCAATACTCACACTTCCTAGTTCCAGGAAAACCAGTCAAACCTGCATTTAGGACCCCCACGCTGTGGTAACCAAAGACCCTACCACCTGAGAGCCACATCTCAGCTCATCTTGGGGGGCAAGGGGACTGCCACTGTTGCTTCAGAGTAAAAAGGGGCATGGTCATCCTTGCTCCTGGCCTTCCTGCCACTGAGGCATAGGGCTGCAACCAGTGCCCTCCTGCCAGTGTCTAATGAAAATAAAACTTCTTCTAGCTACCAGCAAATCACCAGTTATTAAAGACAAATGTCAGAGTCAGTAAAAGTAAAGTCTCTGGGAATAACCTTTAAACCAAGAAATTCAACGCCATGAGTAACTGGGGCTGGGACCCCTTGACAAATTAGTAACTTTTTAAAAGCATGAGGTCAGAAATAACTGAGCCAGCCATACAGTCACAGCAAGAGGCTCTGTCACATACACAAGGTGCAAATACACACACACATTCATAGACGCAGGTGCACACACAGGCACACATGTACACACGAGGTGCTTACACACAGACACTCATGCAGACACACACACACTCAGAGAAACAAGGTTCACACACGCACACTCATGTACACAAGGTGCACACACACCAATGTACATAAGGTGCACACATGTACACTCAAGTACACAGGTGCACACACTCATGTACACAGGGTGCACACACAAGCACATTTACGCACACAAGGTACATACATGCACACTCGTGTACACAAAGTGCACACACATGCATACACATGTACACAAGGTGCACACACTCATATATACAAGGTGCACATACATGTACACTCTTATACACAAGGAGCATACAATGCACACCCACATACACAAGATGCACACATGCACACTCATGTAAACACAGGCTTAGACGCAGGCACACTCACACACAAAGTGCTTACACACATTCACGCACTCAAGGTGCTTGCACAAATGCACAACTGATGTGTACAAGGTGCATATATACATGCATACTCACATACACTCACATGTACACATTTTATCTACATGCACACACTCTGCATATAGGTGTGTGTGCATACACACGCATATGTGCAGAAATGGCACATGACATCCAGATACTGAGATGCTTCTCCTTTTTCTGCCCACTGTGGGGATGAGACACCAGCTATGCAGAAAATGCCACATTGTTCATGTGTCTAAGCACCTTGTGTGCATGGGAAGGCCATGCTCAGGACTGGAGGGACATTTCTAAAAGCTCAGAGAGTATGAAAAACTACTGTAACCTGAAACATTCCCTCAGATGTGGGAACTACAAAGGGCTCTTACTCCAACAAAATCACGGTGATCACGCTCCTCCCGTTGTTCATCGATTGCTCGAGCGGGCCCAGTAACGTCTCCAACGTGAGACTTGTTGTTACTGTGTTTGGCATATTGAATACGTCACAGGTAGCTTGCCAGGCTCTGCCGTGCGGGCGAGATACTCTCGGTAGCTTGCCAAGCTCTCCAAGAGGGACGGAGGAATCGAACTCGGGTCGGCCATGTTGGCCGCTTATAAGGCAAACGCCCTACCGCTGTGCTATCGCTCCAGCCCCCAACAAAATCACTTAGACTAAAAGTACACAGCATACCTGAGAGCAGAGTGTGTCTGAGGACAAGACAGAACTAAAGAATGGTCTAGAAATAAGCCATATCCGAGAGTGCAGGAGAGCAAGAAGACTGTGATGTCACTAAGGAAATGGGAGCCAGGAGATACCTCAAAGGTGTGAGCACTCACACTGCATGTGGGAGGCTTGGGTCAATTCCCGTCCAGGCAAGATCATCCACTCACACACTCTGGTTAACTAGAGAAATCCATCAGCCAACCAACGACTACAGAACCACACCATCTCCCATGCAACATCAATAAGCAAGGACCAAACACAAATGCGACAGAAAGGGTTGGGAGAAGGCCTGGAGGCTGGCTGCAGGGTAACACTAGTAACTCCATGCCAGACATGACGTCTGCATGTTCCATGTTCTTCATAATAAAATTCTGAATTCATTCTATCTTTACTATAAAAAGAAAACAGAATCAGGCCTGGAGAGCCTGCAGTTTTCCTGTGAATGCATGTGTGAATGGCTGTATGCACACGTGAGTATGTATGTCTCCAACTGTGACTTATGCACATGCACAAGTATGAATGTATGTGAAGTGCATGCATCTGCATGAATGTGCGTACGTCTGCATGCATGTCTGCATGTGTCTCCGGGGGTGGTGGGATGGTGGAGAAAGCAGACCCCAGCTCCCAGGTCCAGAATGTGCCACATGAAGCCAGCTCACAGCCACAGGGGTCTGTCTGCCCAGCTCCCTTTATCTGATACCCAGAGAACCTGCTGGGAACTTTCCACACATCAAACCCAGGAGACTCACCTCCACACAATTCTAAGGATGACAAGTTCACACTCAGTGCCCAGGCCAGTGATTTAAGAACCACTGCTCTAAAACTCCATCTTCCTGAAGCTCCAGTCATGAAGAAATCACTCAGGACCACTGACAGGCTCCCAGCTAGCACTCAGGATGGTGCACTCTGGCTCCACTGGGCATTGAAGGAGACTTCATGCATAGAAAGTGTGGGAGATGGGGCTGGAGCGATAGTACAGTGGGTAGGGCATTTGCCTTGCACATGGCTGACCCAGGTTCAATTCCCAGCATCCCATATAGTTCCCGAGCACTTCCAGAAGTAATTCCTGACTGCATGAGCAACCCCTGTGCATCGTCAGGTGTGACCCAAAAAGAAAAAACAAGTTAGAAAGTGTGAGAGACGCAGACCCAGGGCTCAACCCCGGTAAGCCTGCACTTCCTCCCCACTTAACACGTGCAGGGTGTTTGCAGGCCTCCTCAGCAGAAACCTATGTGCAGCCACGCCCAGCAGGCCCCACTGCTTCCAAAGGGAAGAGAACTTCGCAGGAGAATTTGCAAGCAGAAAAACCAAACCCTGAGTCTGGGTCCCCAGATGCTTACCAGAGGCTGAAATCCAACCAATCCACAAACACCTTCTGAAAGAAACTAGAGTCTCAGGGCCAGATTCATGGCCTGAACCTCTATTTCGACCCCTCACTCCCGAAGGCACCCAAGAAGCAGCCTGTCGAGTAATTGGAAACAAAGGGTCATCTCTCACAGAGAGAACACAGAGACGCGGCCAAACGAAATTGTTCTTTCTCATCTGAAACCAAATTCTTAAGAGTTATTTTCTGTAATGAAAAACATGGATTTTTAAGCCCCTCCACTCATTCCCTAGATGAAACATATACGTCCTAAGGGAAAGAATTTAGTAGCCATTTCTCAAGAAGTTTCATTTCTGGGGTTGTGGCTAAAGACTGTCCCTCTTCTGTGTGTATCACTCATCAAAGACCAATTCAACTATAAAAAGCCCCATGGGAAAGTAACTTGACCCTTACCTTAGCTTCACATTTCTTGTGGCAGGAATACTTGCAGGCTGGAAAAGAGGAGAAAACAAGAGAGAATGTGAAAGTTGGCCTGTCTCCACAACAATAGTTTCTGCGTCATCAAACTCTCTCAATCCCTGCATAAGTCCGGACTTGGGCAGGGGTCGGGGGTTATTTATTTATAACACAATGCTAAGTTATGACAGACTGTAGCATGGACACGGTGACAGGAATCCAGCTACCCCCATTCCACACCTATCCCACTGATGGGGCAGGGGGTTGTTCCAGAAAGCAGACTCACAAAGATCAATTTCTCCAGGGTACATACAGCCAACTGACTAAACCATAAATGTGATGGTCTTCAACAGCAAAAAGCATCAGCATGTGCCTGAAATTATAGTTTTTCCTGAAAGAAAAGAAGCTAGACAATGTCCCCATGAGAATCAGAATCGATGTCTCTAAATTGTGTGTTGTCCTTCTTCCGTTTCCGGACAATCTGAATGGCTGTCAAGATAAATCTACGTCTAAATTCCTATGGGGGATCTTCCAACTGGGCGCACTGTGTAACTGCAAGAAGCATGTGCAGGTCCCCTGCCCTGACAATGCCTACTGAGTGCCAGAACCAATGCGATTTCACAGGACTGTCACACCCGAGGCTGCAGCTGTGCTTCTTCCCACAATGGTGACAGGAGGCAATGCAGGAAGATGTTGGAAAATGAAGCAAAGGCACCAAACCCCCATGGTGGGCTCCCCTGAGTCTTCAACAGGGCATCCGATATGCTTTCCCAAGATGAACCTAGGGGTCAGCTGTGTCATGAGGGGAAAAGCTTGGGCTTGGGGACAAGTGGCATGAAGGCGGCCTGGGTCTGTCCCCAGCTGGGCTTCCCTGGTACACATGCCAAAACGGTTCCCAGTCTCCTGTCTCTCCTGGGGGTTAGTGCAGTGCCAAGAGGACGCCCTTGGATGGACAACCAGCCTGTGGCTCATCTGTGGCTACAGACTGGCAAGTAGCAGGCAGAGTCACTGCAACTCAAAAAGAGAACAGCTAGTACTGCTATCTTTTTCAAGATTTGTTTTCTGAGTTTTCTCTCTATGCCTCTGAGGTTTGTGAGGTTCCTCGCAAAGACAAATATGTACTCTAAAGACAGCCTGTGGGTTGGTGAGCAAGAGGGGCCTGCCTTTGGAATAAAAATAGAAGGCAAAACAAAGGCTTCTTGAGTCAGCGACAAGACAGCAAGACAGCAAGGAGCACTTGCCTGGCAAACAGCCCACCCAGGTTCTATCTCCAGCACCCATATGATCCCTCTAAGCACTATCAGTAGAGCCCCTGGATCACAGAGCCAGGAGTAAGTCCTGTGGACTGCCAGATGTGGCCCAAAAACTGAAAAAGGAAAAAATATAAAGGTTTTGTATGCCAATTTAAGAACACACAGAAAAACAGTCTGGGCCAGAGGCCAGCCAGAAGGACTGCGATAGGAGAAGGCAGGGGAGAAACGCCCTTCGGGTGAAGGAGCATTACACTGAACCCTCTTAATTGGGCAAGCCAGACTGCAAAGTGAAGTACGTCATCATTAATCCTCCTGGCACTTTTGCCCACAGAGCTGCTCAGAGCGGCTCAGTTTGACAACACAGAGTGGCGAGGGCAAGGTGTGGATTTCTGCCCTGATGTCTCGGATCCCCTCTGAGGAGCTAGGGGAAGAGACTGCCACCAGCCAGCACCAACTTGCAGCCACATAAAGCTGCCACTTCACAGACAAGCCTTCAGTTCTGAGACAGAAGTGCCCAGTGTCCCTTAACACCTCAATTCCCAACACAACAACCATGAGAAATAATAGAAGCTATTGTTCTTGTTGAGCCTCTAATTTGAGGAATCATTTATTATACAACACAGATAATTACTATCATAGTCAACTCATCCTAAAAAGTACTCCGGTCCATGAAAGTACTCTGTGAGTAATGCACAGTAGAAGGCCAGCCGTGGTCTGGAACTGACAGACAGTCTGGGTAAGCTGGTTCATTAGACATATTATGATTAACTACGAATTCACATAAGCCACCTGGCCACTGTGGCAAGATCCTGGTCAAATGTGTGTTCTGCATTTGATCCTTGTAAAAACCCCAAGAAGAAGAAACTGTGAAGGTGAGTGGGTCAAGTCATAGTCCCTGTGGCTGGGCTTTCACTGCCTACAACTCAGGCCCTGATTTCACTCTGCTGCATGCTTCTGACACAACATCAACGCTACAGTTGGCAAACAGTGTCCAGACACGGATCCCAATCCTAACACATGCAGCAGGAAGTCTGGACTCTTTGTCATGGACCTGACATCCTTCATGGCCTGGGCCAGCAGCTCCAAATCCCTGAATCTGAACCCACTTCAGTCATGCTCTGTCTGACCCTTGAAAGTTCTACCCACACTTCTGTGTCAGGCTGCCTTTTTCCTTTAAGATTTAAGACAGGAGTCACCTCCTCCACCAGGAAGCTCCCTAGCCTGCTCTTCCACACAGGTCAGTGTAGTCAAACACATTCTGGAAACAGCCTGACTACTCATCTCAAAGTAATATGTGTGTTCACTCTCTTAAATAAGCCAGGCTCATCGACAGATGGTATCCCAGCTACTATAACATGACACTAACAGAAAAGAAAACAGCTAAAGACCAAAGCACCCACATGCAGACACCTGCTGGAGGATCCAAGTTTTCATGGTCCCCACTCTCAGCCGCTACTGCGCCCATAAAGGGCTCCAGATCTTCTCCCTCAGAGGAGCCATCTGACGGGTCACTGTGCACTGACAGTTCCCTTCAGAGCGTGGGTCCAGTGAGATAGATACAGAGGACCTTCCGTATCTCATCACCACTCTGGGTGGTGAAGCTGCCAAGAAAAAGGGAGGCCACAGAAGGTTCCAGAACTTGCCCAACACAACACAGCTCCAAATTACAAGGTCCCAAAAGGACAAATCTGCATGCTGATTTAACCATCAGCCTCTCTAACCCACTGCTCTTCTTGGAAGCCAAAACACTGACTTTGCATTCTTCCAGCTTCATTGGGATATAACTGACAAATCTGTATGATTTAAAACATACAATGCAATGATTTGACTGTGTGACTACAAGCAAATAAATTAAGATATTCAGCATCTAAGATCTGCTTCCTAAAACTACCATATTAATGACAGTTCCAGTTCTGTCCATTCTACCTTAAGGGCATATGCATCATATAAACTATGTATCTCTGACCAATCAATCTGCCCATTTACCCCATTTACCCAACAATTCTCCTTTGCAACCACTCTTGTGCTGTGTTCATCAATAATTTTCTATCTTTTTTTCATTTGTAGGGTGGTGGTGGTACGCAGGGCGCAGCCAGGGCTGCCTGGGGGTCACTCTTGGCTCTGGACTCAGGGAATCACGTGGTACCAGAGACCCAATGAAAAGCCTCCTGCATGCAAAGCACACACTTACCCTATTGAGTGATGCCTCAGTCTGTTTCCCTTTGTGCACGTGGGCATATGAGTGAGTGTGTGTGTGTGTGTGTGTGTGTGTGTGTTGGGGGGAGGTGGGATCCTGGAATGGAACCCAGGGCCTTATGCATGCAAGGCAAATGCTCCACCATTGGCCCACCTGCCATTGCTCCCCTATTTTTTAATTTTTTCAAGAGTGGGGAAAAGGGAGAATAATGAGGATTCCTTCACGCTGATTCTTTCCTTGTTATCTGCTGTCACTGTCACTGTCACTGTCCTCCTGTTGTTCATCGATTTGCTCGAGCGGGCCCAGTAATGTCTCCATTGTGAGACTTGTTGTTACTGTGTTTGGCATATCAAATACATCATGGGTAGCTTGCCAGGCTTTGCCATGCAGGCAAGATACTCTTGATAACTTGCTGGGCTCTCCGAGAGGAATGGAAGAATCGAACCCGGGTAGGTTCTGTCGACCGCGTGCAAGGCAGTTATCACTTCAGCTCCTTGTTATCTGCATTATGTTAAATTTTAAAAAGCTTAAATTTCAAATAGTACATATTTCCACTCCAAAATTTATATTTAGTTTTTCTGTAAAAATGTATTTGTTACAGTCATATGTTTACAGTAGTGTTCATGTTAATGGATTTGATATAGTACTAAAGACACGTCACCAATGTCCTTTTGTTACTTCTAGTCTAGTTTTTCATTTCCTTCTGTATTTAGTTCACCTAAAATAAATCTTATTTTTCTGGGACTGGAGAGATGGTACAGCAGGTAATGTACTTGTCTTACACGTAGATGACTCAGTTCAATTTACACCACCACAAATGGTCCCCTGAGCCCACAGGAGTGATTCCTGAACATAGCCAGGAGTAAGCCCTGAGTACTGATGGGTGTGGCCACAGTAAATAAGATTTTATTTTCTGTTAAAAAGTTTAGGACTCTTCAGTTACCTCTTTTATTTGGGCTATGTTTTAATAGCTTTTCATTTTCAAGGATAAGGTTCATTTCACTCAGATTTTTAAATTTATAGAAGTTTCTTATGACCTTCTTCAGGAGAGAGGTTAATAGTGAGATCTTCCATTTCAATTCTGTAGACTGATAACTTGTCTCATATCTTTTAATCCTTTTTTTATTCTTGTTAAGAGCTTCAGCAACCGTGCTGGTATTTCAAACAATGGTTTGAGTTCATTAACTTTCTCTATAGCTTTTTTTTTCGATTTTGATTTCTATTAAGTTTCTAATTTCATTTTTCTGAAGTATATTATGCTCTTTGTTTTCTAGATATTTTTACTATTTTTAACGAGACAATCATGATTTACAACAATTCACAGCCATGTTCTAGATTTACAAAGATAATGCACCACACCCATCACTAGTTAATATCCCTTTTCGTGCCTGTCCCTGCCTTTGTCACTTCTGGTCCAGAGACAGTTTCAGAGTCTGATCTCACTGGTCACTGCAACTCTCTCACTTCTTCTACATACTCCATATAGAAGTGACATCATCTGTTATTCCTTGCTCTCCTGCTAACTCCATTCACTGAGCATGACACCCTCTACTTTAAT